CATCATCGACAGCCAGGGGCTGGGGCTGGGCACCGAGGGGGACCTGCAGGACAGCCTGCACCTTGAGGAGCACTCGCTGGAGCAGGTGCAGAGCATGGTGGTGGGCGAGGTGCTCAAGGACATCGAGACAGCCTGCAAGCTGCTCAACATCGCCGCGGGTGCGTGTCCCCGGGGCAGGGATGGGTGTGCGGGGTGGGAGCCAAAGCCACGCTGAGTTTGGGGGGCTGCAGATGCCTCTGGGGGTGTCTGGGGAGCGTGGCTGCCCTACATGGGATGAGAGGATGGAGAGGATGGTTCCTGGGGGGCTGCAGCCACTTGTGGGGGTCTGAGGGAGTGTGGCTGCTCCATACGCAAGGAAAGGACGGATCCTGGGAGGCTGCAGCTGCCTGTGGGGGTCTGGGGAGTGTGGCTGTCCCACAGGGGAGGAGAGGATGGAGGGGATGGTTCCTGGGGGGCTGTAGGGAGAGAGCAGGGGGGTCTGGGGGAGAGCATCTGCTCCACACGGGAGGAGGGGATGGTTCCTGGGGGGCTGCAGCCATGTGTGGGGGTCTAGAGGAGTGTGGCTGCTCCATACGCAAGGAAAGGACGGATCCTGGGAGGCTGCAGCTGCCTGTGGGGGTCTGGGGAGTGTGGCTGCCCCACACAGGAGGAGAGGATGGAGAGGATGGTTCCTGGGGGGCTGCAGCCATGTGTGGGGGTCTAGGGGAGTGTGGCTGCCCCACATGGGAGGAGGGCTTGGCTCCCTGGCCACACTCACCCCCCTCGGCCCCCAGACCCCATGGACTGGAGCCCCGGCAATGTGCAGAAGTGGATCCTGTGGACGGAGCACCAGTACCGGCTGCCGCAGATCGGGAAGTCCTTCCAGGAGCTGTCGGGAAAGGACCTGTGCGCCATGTCCGAGGAGCAGTTCTGCCAGCGCTCCCCCGCCTGCGGTGACATCCTGCACGCCCACCTCGACATCTGGAAGTCCGGTGGGTGCCGGGGAGGGAGCCGGGGAGGGTGGGCGAGGCTGTGCCGCGGGAGGTGCCCCCCTGATGCCCCGCTCCTCCCTTGCAGCCGCCTGGATGAAGGAGAAGGCTGCCCCCGGAGATGTCAGATACTGCGGTGAGTTCTGCTTTGGGCAGGTCCGGAGTGCCTGGGGGATCCCTCCCTGTTTAATTGCAATTACCCGGAGCTATGGGATCTGGGCCGTTCATTCCCTCTGCCCCAGAGCAGCCCCAGGGCTCTCTGCGAAACCCAGCGAAAGGGAAACGGCTCCATCCCTTCCCTGGCGCTGTCCCACAGCCCTGCACCCCTGCGGGCTGCACAGGAACAGCACTGAGCTGCTCTCCCTGCTCCAAGATGGGGAGAGGAAAGCAAATCTTACATACCCAGAGCCGGGCTGAGTCTGGCTGGGAGCGGGGCTCCCTGATGAGGACTCGAGCAGCTCCCTGGGGTGATGCACAGTCCCTTCCCTCCTCTCACGCGTCCCTTCCCGTGGCAGGAGGTGACACCGGCTGGGCCGACAGCGAGGTGGACTCGTCCTGCGCCGGCCAACCCATCCACCTGTGGCAGTTCCTCAAGGAGCTGCTGCTGAAGCCGCACAACTACGGCCGCTTCATCCGCTGGCTCAACAAGGACAAAGGTGGGCGATGCGCTCCAGAGGCCCCGGGGAGGGCGCTGGGGGGCTGAGGCGAGGCAGGAGATGCTGTAACCCCCCGTGCCCCCCTCCCCTGCCAGGCATCTTCAAGATCGAGGACTCGGCGCAGGTGGCGCGGCTGTGGGGCATCCGCAAGAACCGCCCGGCCATGAACTACGACAAGCTGAGCCGTTCCATCCGGCAGTACTACAAGAAAGGGATCATCCGCAAGCCCGACATCTCCCAGCGCCTCGTCTACCAGTTCGTGCACCCGGTGTGAGCGGCGGCGGGACCGGGGAACCTTGGCTNTCCCATCCCAGGCAGAATTCCCCCGGAGCAGCAGCCGGGGAGCTGCCAAGGCTGATGCAATGACCGGCTCAGCCTGGCTCAGCTCGGGCAGGGTTTTGGTGCCGTGTGTGCCCGTGCACCTGGGGCTGCCCCTCCAGTCTCCTTTTCCAGGGAAATGCACAAAGGGGAAGGGGAAGAGGGGGGAAAGGGCCGCCTGAAGTGGCTTCTCAGTGCAAACAGGTCCCACCCAGCCCGGCCGCCCGCGTGCCACAGCGGGAGAAAGTCAAACAGCGGCCCCCGCCCAGGGAGGACAGCGCCCTTGGTGGGGCACAGCTCAGCCTTTTGGGGACACTTCCCCAGGGATTGGGTCTCTCTGGTCCCTGCTGGGAGGGGGAGAACAGGATGAGGGTGAAGGTGGGGCTGGGTTTGTCCATCCTGTGGCATTCCCAGGGATGGTTCCACAGCCCTGCTCCGCCATGGGTGAGGATGAACCGTGACCTCAGAACATCCCAGAGGCTTTGGGAATGAGGCACCTGTCCCCTCCCAGACACCCCCACGGCCGGCACTGAGCAGCAGCAGGAGCTGCACAAGCTGTTACCAGTTCCCTTTTGTGCTGGGAGCAGCGTGAGGCTGGATTTAGGGCTGATCTCCTAAAGCTCTTCTTTTAATCCCAAGCAAATCAAGGAGAGGTTTGGAAGCAGACACCATCTCTCAGGGAAACTGTGTGGGGATGGTGGGGGCAGCCCCAGACCAGAAGAGGGTTTGGGTTCCCTCTTCTCCCTCCTCCTCCTTGCTGCAGTGCCACCAAAACCACTCAGGGTTGTGGGCTCCAGCTCCTGAACCCACAATATCTCCCCAGTGCTATTTAGGGGTCCCTGGCTCTTCTACACGTTTTTCTGAGCTCTTTGGGCTATTCCAAGGATGAAGTGATGAGCGTGCCCCAAGTGCAGGCAATGCAGAACCTCAAACCCATATTCCTGGGAGCACTGAACCCTCAGGAGCTGCATTATCTCCCCCCTGAGCATGGGACACAGGGCTGGGTCCCCACTGTCCCTCCTCCACTGACCACCCCGTGCTTGGGGGCTGTGTTCTGCCTGGTGGAACCCTGTGGGATCTTTTCCTCTCATTTATTTTAAACCTTTCCCCCAGAGCTGGGGTTTGGAGCACAGGGCACCACCCCCTTTCCCTGGCCACTGTTCCCCTTCAGGGCTGCCTGGTGTCCTGAGGGGTTTCAAACTTTGCACACTGCTTTTCCAGTGCCAGCTCCATTGCTAAAGCTCCCTTTTCTGCCTTTAAACCACCAATTTGGGATGGTTCTTCTTCTTCTCCTTGTAAAATGCGGTGCTGACGGTGGAGGAGCTGGGCAGTGCCCTGGCCATGCCCATCAGCAGCTTCTCCCTGGCAGGCGCCTCCCTTTCCCAAAGTCTCAGGATGGCTTTTGGAGAGGTTTCTCCATGGATGGAGGCATTCCTTGGTGTTGCTGTGGAAATTCAGCAGGTTCATCCTGTCCTCCATGGCCTCCAGGACTCCCAGGCTGATTTGGGGTAGTTTTTCTTGCTAGAGAGTGAAGGTTATTGCAATTGTCCTGTCTTACAAGGAAAGTTCTCATCTGGGGGTTGATAACAGCGACCAAGGGCTGGGTCCCTCCCAGGGATTTGGGTCTGGGGGCTGCTGTGCCTCAGGTGGAAGCAGCAGAGGATGATTTCCACCCTCAGAAAGCTGTCCCTGCAGCTCAAGCATCCATTGTCACCCCAGGGCTGTCCTGGGGGAGTCCCCCCAGTGTCCCACAGTGCCTTCCACCCCTCGGCTCCACCTGGGACTGAGCTGCTGCCAGCCTGGGGTGCAGCCCTGGGGGGACCCCAAACACCCAGACCCCCAACACCCAGACCCTAAATACCCAGACCCCAAACACCCAGACCCCAAACACCCAGACCCTAAAGACCCAGACCCTAAACACCCAGACCCTAAACACCCAAACCCTATACACCCAGACCCTAAATACCCAGAACCTATACACTCAGACCCTAAACACCCAGACCCAAAGCAGGGGTCAGATCCTGCTCATCTCCTCAGCTCCTTCTCCCTGCTGCCTGCTGCTGCTGTCCCAACCCGGAGCCAGCCCCCCCAGCCGTGTCTGACCCCGTATTCCCCGCAGGCTGCCGGGCACAGTGGGGCTCTTTGCCGGGTTTTTCCCCTCTAACAGGCTTAGTCCGTCCCTTTGTGCCTGGCTGCGGGGCGGGAAGG